ACAAGCCCAAGGGCCACTAAGAAAATCTTGAGCTCCTCGCATTGGAGACAGGTTCCAGTCGCATGCAGTCAAACTCACGTGGGGGTGGTCACAGTTTCCAAGATTCATATCTTGTCCAATCTTTTCCAGAATCTATTTCCTCTCTGTCTTTAGGAAATAGAATGGTGTGATCATTGCTTTGGTGTTTGACTGCTTAGCTGCAGCTATGATGAAGGCATAATTTGCTTTCACTGAATGATGGGGGGTTCTCCACAGAAGGCTTTCTGCATGGCAGTTCAGCTCACCACACTCTGAGCCTCCCACTGAGGTTGAGAGAGGCGTTAGCAATGCAAAATTCAAGGGCCAAAGCAGCAGCAGAGTGAACCTCAGCGCAGGCCGAGAGCGCTTCTTCAACTTAACCCACTCATCTGGGTTCGCTTGGTCTCCTCACAACCGCCCCCAACCCCTAAAATGGTCTACCCAGCACCATGTAAAGAATCAAGAAGGCGGCCGCAACTATTTATGGTTGGGACTGCCCCTTACTAACCTTCATCTACCCGGGTTTTGCTCACTTGATTTATCCAAAATTTGAGGGGTTTCGAGTACGGCAGACATCTCGCTTGGCCGCCGGACCCCTGCCACAGGGCTGTGGCAAAATTCACCATCTGCAAGCTCATCTCTCCCTGAGGCTCAACCGGATTTTTCCACTTTCGATGACCCAGTGAATCCCAGTTGCAACTTCTTTCCGAAGGTGGAAACCATGGACACCCCAATTCATTTGGACCACACACCCGAACCCCAATCTGATTTTTGATAGTAGAACGGCTATAAATGGATTTTACGGTCCTTACAAGAACCTTTCTGAAACCAGCTGCAAGGAACCAAAATCCCCAGCTAAACTGGCAAATAGGACATGGTTTTGAGTGCCCTGTGCCCTGTGCCACTGGGCAAGCGCCTCATAGCTGTTCAAAACACTCCAATGGCAATGCTTCAAGCATTCGCTGTCATCCATTCTGATGGCCAGCGACCATCTTTCGGAGGCTACTGAGGCTACCTCACCACGCAAGAGTAGTAGCGTGAAACGTCGCAGGGGCCTGACTGGGAAAGTTATGGATCTCCAAGCCCAAGCGCCCGCCTCGATGCCCTCAGTCTCCTTGAGCCAGGTCTTGAAACGTAGGAGCGCGAGCTCCTGAGCACGATCACTCACCTTTTGATCCTGAGCACTTGCCCGGATGCGTCAAACATGCAGACCGCCTTCGCACTCCACCGTGGAGCGCTCGAACGCACGTGTTTGTTTCTTCTTTTTCTGTTTTTTTCTGTTTGTTTTTATTCTTCCTAATATATATATATATATATATATGTATATATATATAAACAAGAAAAAACAAAAACATGTTTCGGAGGGATGAGTTGGAAGTGGCTGCACAGCGCAAGACATTGCTACAAGTAATTGTTTGGGGGCAAGGTCCTGGACAAGGTCCTGGACCCGATGATGTCTTCACCAGACCTTCTGAGTCATATGTCATATCAACTTCAAGGGTTTCTAGGGCTGCACCTCTGACAGCGCATGATGTTGTTTTTTGGGTTGACCACTGAAATGGTCTTCCAAGAATGGACAACTACCGGTGGTTGGGGGTGCGACTCTACCACCAAAAAAAGGAAAAGCAATACAATCAAAAGGGCTGCCGCTCGTATGTGTGATTGGGACTCCAAATACCGATCCTCATTCACCCAGACTTTGAGTTGCTGAATTCCTTTCCGTGTCGCGTGCATTCGTTGGGCCATTCTTCCGGCTCAGGTGCACATATTTCTGGTGACTTGCGTACGGCCAACTCCTCCTCCCAACAGCCAAGAGAATCGCCGACAAGCTCTGAGACAACGGCAACTGGACTGTGAGCAAATCGACAAGTTGACAAAAGGAGAAGAAACAAAACACACAAAATGCCTCCAAGCTGGTGACATATCATCGTTGCTGGGAATATGTCAAAACCATCTGGGAAGCTGTAGTCAAACTGGTGGCTTTCTTTTTCTCTGGTGGGACATGTTGCTTCAATTGGCTTTTCAAGTTGCATCTAAAGAACCCTGTTCCTTAAATACAAGTCTGCCGATTCCTGTCAGAAGCTCCGATCTTCGCACTCCCTCGGCTCCCTCGGCGCCTTGAGAACCAGAGACAAAGCGATGAAGGCGTAGGACAGGAACAGGCCCAGCGCCGCCAGCATCTGCGCCAGCGACGACCCAAAGGCCTCAAGCAAGGCTCACGGCCCCCCACGCGCCGAACGGAGGACTGCAGAAGCGGGAAGTGGGTCTGTCGTCTTTTTTTTTGGGGGGGGACTCCAACGGGGGCGGTTTTTAAAGGGGAGCGCAAAGACCGAACACCGAAGCCAGCTTGGAGGTCGCCTAAAGGTCTCGAAAGGTACAGTCACGCATTCAGCTGGCCTTTCTCAGTTCTTGCCTGACACGATGCTCAGAATTCTGGCGGGTTGCACCCAGTAAACCTCAATACGTGAGATAGACAGCAACGAAAGCAAGCTCATTGAATGAGATTGCACCTGACCCAAAACATGAGATTGCTGAGATCTCATGAGATGCTCACGTCTCAAAATTTGGGAGTCGATGCGGGCAAACCCTTGCAAACAGTCCCCATTTATCTAGGGGTACCTTCTCCATTCTTTCCAGGGATCCTTCTTTTCAGGAAACCACCCAAACACCCAGGTTGGAAACAGATCCGGTTTTTGAAAAGAACGATGGTTGAAAAGAATGGAAAAGGAATCAACCCCCAGAAAAGTGCCTCCTTTTGTTTTGCCTGAGACCAGGGCTCTCTGCCCCAAGACCTTTGGTCTTACCTCTTCGCCCCCCCAGTTGGCATGTTGAGGCCGCCTCAATTCGCCGCCTTTTGCAACCCACCGAAAGGGGCGCCAAGCTCTTCAACTTCGGCAAACGCATCTTCGCGAACTTAACAGACAACTTTTCCTCCTTGTTTTTTTTGGGGGGGGGATGGCTTGAAAAGGGAAGACAACAGTAACTCTACCAAAACCGGGGGGCCCGCTGCCCATTTGGGAAACTCCCAATTCTCAGCGCTTTGCTCCTGGGTTCCACCGCTTGACTCAAGCCGCCTTCTTGGTCAAGCTGCCACTAGAGGAACTCAGGGATCCTTCCCTCTAGGTTTCTATGCGGGTTTCTCAAAATGGTGAACCCCCTTCTTGTTTGTAGCTAAAGCGAAACCAAAAGGAACGAACTGCTTTAGGGCACCGCTAGTTCGAGAAACATGGTTCCCCATGGTTTCAGTGGCGAAACGGCTGGAAGCTCCAAAATTGCGCATCCCCCCTTTGGTCTCCTTTTGGTTTCCTTGGAATTCTTGCTCGCGAATCCACGTGCCTACTGAATGGGGGGTGCGGGTTCCAGACTTGTCTCAGTTGCCCTGGGACCAACATGGGAAAACCCAGTAACTAGGCTGGAATTAGGACCCCAGCAAACAATTATCTGTTTTGCCTGGTTAGTGGAAAACAAAAGCAACCCCAAAAAAAGCACAAAAATACAGGGGAACTAATTCTGGGGAAGGTAAACAGGTCGATTCACTTTCAAGTCAGTCTTTTCTACCAAAGATACCTCCCACTTCCTGAGTGGATCAAAGAAAGGTCCGCGATTTTTACCTTCGGCACTCGTCTTCCCAAATAGTATCAAGCCCTGCACCGTGCACCTCTCTCTCCATATCTCTCCGGGAATCTTAGTGAGATGGCGCACCGCGACCCGGCCACTGCAGCTTTGGGGTCCGCGCTGCGGACAACTCCCCGGAACCAGCCAAGCTGGGCCTCTGGTGCAGAGGAAAGAGAAAACGAGGCGCTCAAAACCTCTGGCCAGGGGGATGTGTCTCGGCCCATAACTAGGTCCTCCAGTAAAGAGGTTGGTACCGTTTCTTTTTCTGTAGTCTATTTTAGTAGGGAAGCTTCCCCCAAAAAAGGGCAAAAGGGCGCTACTGGGGGACCTAGATAACCAAACATGTCTTGTTGTTTCCCCAGAAAGCGATGGGGTCGATCCCAGATAGGCGCCAAGGTGTGTGGTTTGGGGCAGCTCTCAGGGAGGCTTCGGGTCCGGACGGCTCCGGGGGTTCCGGGGGTTCCAGGAGTTCCTGGCTGTTGGGGATATCATCTGGGCTTGCTTTTTTGTTCAGTGATTATTCTTACTATTCTTATTATTAGCATTATTATTATTATGTTTCTTTGTTTTTTTCCGCTTGGAGAGAACTGCCAGAAAACGGGCCCATTTTGAGAAGCCCTGCTTCGGGTTTACCACCGATGCGGGTTCCTTAGAATCCTTCATCCGTGAGTCAGCCCAAATAGGTACAAGAGGTGGTGTGTCAGCCGGTCCTGGCGCTCTCGTTCAAAACTGAAAAGCGAATCTGATCGAATTGATCGGCACCGAAGTTCTCTGGCCTCAGCTTCCCTGCTAAAACCGACTAACTTGTGGGTTCAATGGAAACCACCATTAAACCCTAAAAAGCTAAGGGGGATAACTGGGAACCCACCAAGTTACAGTATGTCTCACTTTCCCAGATCTGGCCAGGGGTCAAAAGTCCGTACCCTTAGTGAACATCCCAATCCCCACTCAAATAGGTTCCAAAATGGCTGGTGAATTCACCTACCCCAAAATGGGATCCCAAAACGGTTTTGACAACCACAGCCATCTCTTTCCGAGCCGAACAACTTGTTGGGCGCCCTGCCAGGTGCAGATGCCGACGCCCACTGCGACCACTACCACCCCGAGAACCTGCGGGAATCGACCTCCTGGTTGAAGGGCAATCAATACCCCGCAAGGCTAAGTTAAGGACTTTGTGGAGAAAAATAAAACACGGGTGCCTGGTGTTCGGCCTTGAAAAATGTCAAAAGACCCCCAAGCACGATCACAAGGCGTGCAAACATCCGCATAAGGAACGCTTTTTGAAGCCAGCAAGGCAGGCAAAAAACAAGTAAACAAGAGCCAGACACGTTGCAGTCGCTGAACCCCAGCTTGACATCGACCCTTTTGCCATTCGCCATCGGCGGAGATCTAAGTAGCGCGCAGCCGAAGCCGCCTGCATTAGCTTCAAGGGGCCTAGCATCCCCGGGCCAAGGAAGAAGGTAGACAATGCCACACCCGGCCCGTATTGATCACGGACTGGACTGTGCTAGAAGTGCCCCCCTTGGCGCGGGATACTTGGCCACTTAATGGGGGACCAAGCCCAAGGAACTGAGGGCATGAAGTTGCCACTGCGCCAGGTCCATAGGCGGGTCTCCCTCTACAGTCACAGGCGTTGTCACAACGCAAAGGCGTGCACCGGCCACGTCTCATGGGGTCTGGAAAACTGTGAGCTGGGCTTCCCAACCTCAGAAGGACGCACCGCGTTTGAGGCCATCTATGGCATGGACAAATATCCATGACCTTCTCACCATGCACACAAGCAAGGGAGACACACACACACACACAAACAAAAAAACACAAAAAACAACACAAGCACACACACACACCCACCCACCCACCCACCCACCCACGCACGCACGCACGCACGCACGCACGCACGCACGCACGCACGCACGCACGCACACACACACACACACACGCACGCACGCACGCACGCACGCACCCACAGACACAGACACAGACACAGACACAGACACAGACACAGACACAGACACAGACAGAGACAGAGACAGAGACAGAGACAGAGACAGAGACAGAGACAGAGACAGAGACAGAGACAGAGACAGAGACAGAGACAGAGACAGAGACAGAGACAGAGACAGAGACAGAGACAGAGACAGAGACAGACAGAGAGACAGACAGACAGAGAGAGACAGAGACAAGAGACAAGAGACAAGAGACAAGAGA